CCCCCCCCCCCTCTCTCTCTGACATGAAGGAGATCATGTTGTCACTCACAATCCCTTGCACCCCCCAGTTGACGGTGGAGAAGGTCTTGAGCTTGGCCAGGTAAGGGGGAATGTTGTCGTGCACCTGCCATCAGCTCGCCATATCAGCAAGATGCACAACTAATCCACGTGTCAGAACTAGTCTCGATGCCTGCACCAGTTACCCCACTACCATAGAAATCAATTTTTTGCACCATGCCCCCAGAGTCTACATCATCGTCGTCATATCTTCCCGCCCCCATCCCAAGTTGGTATTGTTGCATGACCGCTTCCAGCAAGACCCATCGAAATTCCCGGCATGCTACAGAACCGACGGCAGAGGGGCTTCGCACAATCAAAGTGCTGGAAACACACCCCCGCCCGTGCGCCTCGAGGAGTGGAGTAGAGAAACATTTACAGCAAAAACATTGTGTGCAATTCACTCACGGTCAACGTGAGGCCACTATACAAGGCTTGATCGATGGTTCTAAAAATGCACCAGCACAGAGGGGAACGTTAATGCTGGGCTTCAAGGCTCGCGGTCAGAGCTGTCGGGGCGTGAGAGAAGCGAAGGCGGTTGTCGTCAAAGCAGTGCCATCCACAAAAGCAAGTTGATTGCGCGGAGGATGATTTTGTTAGCGAATTCCATAGTGCATGCGTGTGTGCGTGTTTCTACTGCTGGCATCGACCGCACCAACCGGCTGACCAATGAAAAGACGTCAGCCTCAGCGCGGCCGGAAAAAGAAAATGTTTCTTAAGACCAGGAACCCCGTGGGGCGTCGTGTGTGTGTGTGTGTGTGTGTGTGTGTGTGTGCGTGCGTCTGTATGCTTACTAGAATCGACCGCGCTAAGAACGGGCGTGTTGTCCTAAACTGTGGTATAAAGTTTTCTTGGTTTCGGGGAGGACATACATGCACATATATGCGTAGCAGAACATAATAAGACCTCCCGCTGAGCTCACCCCTGACAACATGAGAGAGATTACCATGACCGCCGGGCCGAGGAGGTTGGCCGCCTCCATACTAGGCGACAGGCACCCCACCATCAGGCCCACTGCTGATGAAGCTGCCATGACACACGCGCCGTGAGCAGTCACCGGCCGCAGCAAGGGATGGGGTGAGACGCAGTGTGATGTCACGGGGCGGGAGGGGGGAGGGGGCACGTCTTCACGTTAAATTGGCCGCGTGCACCGTACGTTGACCTGGGTATTTTGACATGAACAGTAAATAATAAAAATATGAGAATTACTGTGTTTATCGTTCCTCCTGTGTGACCCCGCAACGGTGTGCACAGGCGGCCAGAATATATTGGTCATCGGTGATTCGTCCCGTGGCAACAACGCTCCGTCCTCTCGAGGACGAGTGGCCAATGGTCGAAAGGCATGCACAAACATGAGAACGCCCCCCTCCCATGCAGACACGACGCGTTCTCACCGTGCGCTTGCAAAAGCAGTGTCGCCAGATATCTGCTGAACTTGAGGACTCCGCCCAACGGACTGTTTAGCCCGGCCATGAAGTACACTCTGTTGTCAAAAAACAGCGACCAGGCAACCCGCACGTTGAGAACGGAAAGGATGCGGGATGACGGTTTCAGAAACGCTTCTTCGACGGTGTCAGAAACTCCTCTCAGACGGTTTCAGAAACGCCTCTTTACCCCCTTCCTCTCTATCCTACAGGTAGGCTACGCCGATATCGGCCTCTACAGCTACGTGGGAGCGCCATGGATAATGGCACGACGACAACGAGCTTGATTGTGACATCTATCTTGATGTCTTGATGCTATTGGCAGCGGCAAGGACAACACAGTAGCAGCAGTCGAAGTCAACCTTCCGCGAACGAACTCGACTCGAAAACGCCGGATCGGGTCGAAATCCAACGTCATCGCTGCACACGAGCTTCTCCCGGTGCTTTCGGTATATCAGGTTAATCATTGTTATACCATCTCCAGAGTAGGCCCGGAAATCTTGAGCACACGCACTCACGCACATCACTGTGTAGATAGGGGCGATTCTGAGTGCACATCGCGGTTTTTCTTTGAAAATAACACTGTCGAGAAGAAGCGTTCATAAACATAGACACTAGAGGCGTCTGAGTGTACATACATAGCGGTTTCCTCTTGAAATTAGCGCAGACAGAGTTTCGAAAGAAGCACGACCTTGTTGTCCGTTCTCTCTCTGTCGGGTCCGTGGTGGGCGCGGGAAAGTCAGCCACTGTTCGTTATGCACAAGCGAGATGGTCCTCAGCACTATAGCCCGCTTTCTTAGAATATCAAGAGCATGCTTTTGCATTGCGACTAAATAATCATAATACGAAGTGTCCTCACTCACTCTCTCCCTCCCTCCCTCTCTCTCTCTCTCTCTCTCTCTCTCTCTCTCTCTCTCTCTCTCTTTTTTTTTCTCTCTCTCTTTTTTTCTCTCTCTCTCTCTTTCTCTCTCTCTCTCTCTCTCTCTCTCTCTCTCNGTCCTTTCGAAGCATTCTCTGCTTTGAGCCGCGTCCACGCCTTTAAATTGGTCAGCCGGTTAGCGTGGTCGATGCCAAAAATAAAGTACATACACAAACGACGACAGTAGCAACTCACACGGTCCCGAAGATGAGAGGGAAAACCACATCCGTCGGCATCTCGGCAAGAATCTTGGACGACAAGTACGCAGAGGCGCTGTACCCCTTGGAGTGCCGCAAAAGGAGCAAGCACACACAAAGAGCAAGAGCAAGAGCAAAGTGACAGTACCCTGTGGCAGTTAGCGAAAATGAGGGGGGGTGGGGGTATACTCATAGCCGTGAATGCCGTAATCATTAGACCATTGACGTCGATGTGGCGTCATCCTCATGTACACACACATTAATGGCGGGGACAAGCTCCTTTCCTACTCAGAAAAACCACCAAAGTCGATGCCGGAAGAGCGGTTTGACAACCTGTGGTGGCCACGAAAACGAGGGGAGCCGGGAGGGGAGCATCCTCATGTGCCGACACCAAAATAGCGGGGGGGGNATAGTCGTGCATGCCGTAGTCGTTAAACCATGGACCTCGCATGCTGGGACGGAGCACGCCGGGTTCTCACTGGACCAGTCTCTCACATCACCAAGCGCGAGCGGCCGTGAGGTATTCGTCGAGTCGCATGAGGGGTGCGAGGTATCCTGCCAAGGGTATTCGGCATCTTCGGCATACTGCCTTGCGTACGGATGACAGCTGCGTATGAGCTAGTTTATTTTCTGGTGCTTTCGCTTCCAGGGACAGTTGAAAGCACTGTGTAACTGCCTCGAGGGTGCTTGACCATTTTAACACAACGTGGTGCGATCATCCCCCTTGCGCGGAGTGAGGGTTCTCCACCCCGCACAACATGATCTACTCGACCACCATTCATGGTTACCGTAAAAAAAAAAACAGAGGTAAAAAAAAAACGGTAACCTGGTTGCCGAGTTCACGAGGTGAATAGGCTTGTTTCACAACGTCTTTGCCAAGCGACGAAAACCCCATCCCGATGGCAAACACCGATGGGGGGGGTTGTTTTACAACGTCGTTGCCAAGCGACGAAAACCTAACCCCGATGGCAAACACCGGGGGACGGGGAAATATCGGGGAGAGATAATCTCTTGTCCATTAAGAAAACCGCGAAAGTCGATTCCGGAAGAGCAGATTGACAACCTGTGGTGGCTGGCGAAAACGAGGGGGGGAGGGGGGAGCATCCTCATGTGCCGACCCCAAAATAGCGGGGAGACATATTCTCTTGCCCATTCAGAAAATCACCAAAATCGATTCCGGAAGAGCAGATCGACATCCATCCTTCTCCTTCACCTCGTCCATCCTCTCGAGATTGACGACTCTGGTCTCCACCGCCAGGGTCTGCAGCGCGCGGATACAGCCGAGCATGGCCACGTTCATGGCCACGTTCACGTACAGCGAGACACGGCCGGAGATGGAGCTCTCCGACAGGCCGAGCTTCCAGAATATCGACCCGAACATGCCTCCCAGGCCAAAACCCATGGCCACCCTAAGGACAAGGTTGTGGATGACAAGACACATGTATGTTTTGTTACTGTTCCCAGACAGATTATACACACACGCAAACCTGAAGATCCCATTGGGGGATCCCCGGCAAAGCACCAAGCCCCCATGATCTTTGAACCTTCCCTGCGAAGGACCTGAGTAGAGTCCATCTACATGGTGGGATATTGATCTACCATGGGTCAGCTCGGGAGCGGTACGTGTGGATGTTAGGAGGTAACCACTGAGCAGACGCTGCTTTTCGATTATTTCCTGTGCAGGGATGGATTCGTTCGTAGTTGTGTTTTCGGATCGGAGGGCCCTTCCAGAGCCGAGGGAGGATCGTGAGGAGGCCGTAGGGTACGTTGGAACTGCGCACAACGGCAAAAAATCGACAGAAAATGATTCATTCCCGATTTGTTTCTCACGCTATCCTTTCAAACACAAAGCCAAACTCATCTCTATCCACAGATAAATTAGTCCAGGATCTCATCATGATATAACCGCTCCCATGTTTTATCCACCACATCCATCACACTACCGCATCAACACCTCGACAACAAGCATGGACGTGATTCGTGTAGATGGCGCAATCTACGCGAGGGACGTCAACACCATGAAAAATCTGAACTATTGTTGCAATTCGGCCGTAGCCTTGTGCCACCTATCATACCTGGTGCTTCCACTCTTGGTATTCCTCGACCTGCTGTAGAGCAATTCGAGCAACATTCCCGACCTGCTGTAGAGCATCACAACACTGAACTCGCCTTGCCACGGCAGCGAACTTGTCACGAGTGGCCTGCTTCCAAGACCTCCTGAGCAGCAGGCCGAACTGCGTTCCCCAGCCGCTCACCGCCCTCCTCCTCTTCTTCCTCCTCCGAGCTCTTCGCCTTCCTCCCCGTGGCTTGATAGAGAGGCGTTTTCGTGCGAAAAGGGCAGCAGAGGCGTTAAGCGTGTAGAGATATAGAGGCATCTCCCGAAACGCACGCGTGCAATGTATCCTGATTTTGCCGTCGGACAGGAACGGATGCATGCGTTGTCGTAAACGCCCGCGTGCTGTGTATCCTGATTTGCCGTTTGACAGGGACGGATGTATGCGTTGTCGTACGCCTTGCGTCGAGGGGTTTCGTGGCTAGGGGTGCAGGCTGAAGAGGAACGGGGAACCGCAACAATACGTTGGGAGACGTAACAAGACAGGTGTGAGCGTTTCTTGACATAGCATCGACCGCGCTAAACGGCTGACCAATGAAAAGGCACCATTCTTCATCAGTCGCGACTCCGATACAAGATGGCGCCTCGCCAATTGCCCTCGACCCTCTTATATCGGAAACCCTTCTTATACCGGATTAAGAGGGTACCCAACCATACATTATCCCGGGTCGAGCCCGTGACAACCGATTCCGACGCTATCGGAGCCCCCTCCTGTAAGGTACCGTCTTATGCTCGGGGCCACGACTGTAGCGGGATAAAAAACGCGAGAATTTTCACGACTGTAGCATGAAACCGGCACCACGATCCCTTCAGTATCGGGGGCTGGCTGGTGAGAGAACACCGTCATCAAGGGGCAACGCAAGATCAAACTAAAAGGCAGCCAGCCAGCCCGCTACGGGTG